CCCAAAACAAACCCCCCTGTAAAAGGGGGAGATTCCCTGTTGCGTGCTTGACTTGCTTGCTGCCTGGCTTGTTTGCTCGCTGTTTTTTTGGGCGGGTGGTGAGCGGGTTGGGGGGGTGGGGCCCTTGCTGTGGAATGAACCCAGTGCCAGTGAACCGAGAACCGCACTGAACCAAACTAAATAGACAAAAAACTGAACCAAGAACCGCACGAACCGAAACCGTTTCAAGAATCGAACCGACCCAAACAGGATTCCAGAAACCGAAACCGAACCGAGCCAAACCGAAATCACACTGTACCAAGCCCATGCTTGGCTCACAACCTGAAACAAGGCACCATTACACCGCAGCTAGGTCAAGGCACTATTGACGGGGTTATAGCCAGGGTTACTACATACTATGACATCTGCCCCGTATTGCCTGATGTATCAACAATTGCGGAAAGCATGGCAAACGTTTTCCACAGCCCTGACTCTCACATCAGCCAGACATGCCTCATGCTGATCTCTTCTCACAAGCAAGCCAACTGAGCCCACATCTTACTGCTTTCTCCGCCATAGCTAGGATTGCCCCAAGACACCACAGAGCCGTCGGCCAGGATGGCATCAAAAGCGCGCTGAGTTGCTTGAATCTGCTGGACCTGCACCAACTGCTCTTGCACCTGGCTGCTGTCACCGCCAAACTTGCGATGACCCCAGATCACAACGGATCCATCTTCCAGGATGGCAGCAAAAGCACCCTGATTTGCTTGAATCTGCTGGACCTGCACCAACTGCTCTTGCACCTGGCTGCTGTCCCCGCCAAACTTGCGATGACTCCAGGTCACAACGGACCCATCTTCCAAGGACGGCAGCAAAAGCACCCTGAGTTGCTTGGAGCTGCTGGACGCGTACTAGCTGCCCGCTCACCAGGCTGCAGTCACCGCCAAAGCCACGCCACGACAGCGAAAGCGCGCTGAGTTGCTTGAATCTGCTGGATGCCCACCAACTGCTCTTGCACCTGGCTGCTGTCACCGCCTGCGTCACGATCGCCCCAAGTCACCACAGAGCCGTCGGCCAAGATGGCAGCAAAAGCGCCGTCAGTTGTTTGGATCCGCTGGATGCGTACCAACCGCTCTTGCACCTGGCTGCTGCCACCGCCATACATATAGTGGCCCCAAGTCACAACGGAACCATCTTCCAGGACGGCTGCAAAACCACTCTGAGTTGCTTGGATCCTAAAGTCACCGCCATTCATAGGCTGACCCCTAGTCACCACAGAGCCGTCGGCCAGAATGGCATCAAAAGCGCGCTCAGTTGCTTGAATCTGCTGGACCTGCCAACTGCTCTTGCACCTGGCTGCTGTCACCGCCAAACTTGCGATGACCCCAGCTCACAACGGATCCATCTTCCAGGATGGCAGCAAAAGCACCCTGAGTTGCTTGGATCTGCTGGACGTGCACCAACTGCTTTTGCACCTGGCCGCTGTCACCACCATGGACAGGATCGCCCCAAGTCACCACAGAGCCTCCTTCTATACTGTCGCCCACCTCAGCAAGATTGCGCGATAGGTCCAGCTTCTCACTTCCGCGCAGCAACCTCAGAAAGCGACGCTCGGGCTGCCGTTGCGCCTCAACTTTCACTTCACGAACGGTCGACTCTGGAGGCAGTGCAACGGAGCAGCTGTTTCCACTCGCCAGGTACACATGCAATTGCTGGCGCCGAGTTTGCAGCTCGAAGAGGCGGGCAAAGGCGACTACCGACTGAGCCACTAAGCAACCAAAACCATCACGTACAAACTGAAGGTGCGGTCGGACATTCCCCTTGTTTACCATATTCATGTACTTGTGTAAGTAGCAGTTTTCCATATTAACCCTTGACAGGACGAACCACATGTGTGGCCCAGGCTAGAATGCAAGCTGCGCGGGATCTTACAATTGTTGAGGACGACACACCCTGCAAATTTCTAGCATGCATGCTCAGCCAATTGAAGAAGGCTGTGGAAAATAATTCACTTTGCCATGTAGGCCTGGCAGTTCGAGTGGCTGGGCATTGCTTTGTGCAGGCTTGGTATTGGATCATTGGCACTCCTGGCTTTCCTGTAGCTGGCGCCGGCTTTCGCTGACCAGAAGCGGATCCAGCAAACGACAGAAAACCTTCACAAACGGGACAACCAGGCGCACAAACACAAAAGCTCGCAAAGCCAAGGCCAAATTACTTAAAGAACATCACAAACTACACTGGGCAAAAGCCCTTTGACTCAGATCCCTCCCGCCTGAAACGACTGCAGCACTGCCGCCACCCGACGCCTAAGCTGCTCCTGGCAAGAACGCGCCGCAGATATGGGCGCATCCCCCTAGAACTTCCAATTTGTAGTGGGATAGCGCAAGGGAGCCACTGCCACTACAAATCTATCTCTTGAACAACCCAAGGAAAATACCTGAACGGGGCGCTTGTGCCTTGCAGCCCTTTTGAGTCCGATATGTGGTGGCCAGCAGACATGTCCCAACCGTCATTGCCCATACTCACCCTTCCAGAAAAACGGTCCGTTCACTCAGACAGGCTCCACCGAACCTCGAGCCCAAGCTCAGAGCAAACGCTGAGGCCGGACCGGAAGGAGGATTTTCCGGCCTTCGCTGAAAAGTACCGGGTTTCCCTCCAAAAGGCGGCCAGCAATTCTGGGTTTGCGTGAGTTTCCCTCGGTTTGATGGACCTGCCTCACCAGAGTCCGCTCCTGGCACTCTTCGTGCATCTGCGCTGTGCGCTGCCACCAGTCCTCCGTCAGCCCCACCAAAGTCTTCCGCAGCCGCACCGGGCCCTCACACGAGAGAAGTGCTGCTTGGCTACAGGCAAAACATGCAAGGACGGAATGAGATTCCGAAAATGTATGGAAAAAAAGGTGAGTCTCCTGGGTTTGAATCATAGTGGGTCCCCATGTTTGTAGTGGATCGTGGGAAAACTAGTGATCCCCCCACATTGTGCCTGAGAAATCAACAACAGACCTCTGGAAATTCTGGCCAAACTTCGTCACGAGGCAAATATTGCACCAGCCCTAGCGAGTGGTATGATCACAAACACCTGGCTGTTTCCACATGGCCGGCTTAGTTACTTCCCAGATCCAGCGGATGCCAAGTTCTTGCGTGATCTATCGTGTGCTTGCATCGGTGCTTAGCCCTGTGTATGATACTAGGTGTCTGAAGCACCTCCAGTACTCAAGAACCTGCCGTTTACTGTGCATCCGAAGCCCATGGCATGCAGCCCTGTCCGAAGCCAGCCCCTTTGCCCAGTGCCCCATGCTTGTGGTAGGCGTTGGCAAAACCACTGGGCGTGGGCCCGGCCTCTGCATCACCTCCCAAAGGCCCCACCTCGAAGATGTCTGGGCGCTCCTCGGTGAATTTCGGGCTTCGGCTTGGCATCAGCTCGGACATCCCCATGAGCGTTCGATGCCAGGAGCACTCCAACACATCCATCCCTGACACAAAACTGGTCCTGGATTGGCGAGGAAGCACATACCAACAGATGAGGGTTGCCTTTCTGAGCCGTCGCCTGTGTTCCTCTTCATGCACCACATGTGCGGCAAACAACGGCCAAAAGAAACGGCTCCTGCAGGAACTTCAAGAGCTCTGGGATGGCCACCTCCCGACAAAAGTGCGTCCACAGGCTCAGGTGTTTCCTTCAGAACAGCGCTGCAGAACCGCAAGGTCGCATTTGGAAATAAGTACCACCCAGCACTAAGTCGCGGCGGGATCCAATACTAAACAATTCTACACTCTGATGCGGGTCTCGGGACCACCTGTAGGGCGCGTTCGACGGAACCATTTTCCTGCACAAAGTTTGACCTTCTCATAAAAGGGGGTGGTGGTTATAGAATGCTGACTTTTACATCAAAACGAAGAACCCGCCTGAGTTTCACGCAGAAACAACCAATCAGTGAAAATAATGCAGCAAACACATGGCTTCCTGCTACTGCCTTGGAAAGAAACTCTGCTGACAGGGCTATGAGAAGGGAGACAACACATGTATGTTCAACAGCTAGGATGGTCTCCAAAAATGACCGCTCAATCATGAATTATCTCATGATAGACTCACAGAAGCTAAGCCAAAGCCTGTCCACCGATCGGAAAAGGGATCGGAGCGCTTCCCTACGAACAACAGGAACCACACTCCACCTTGAGGCACGCCCGATTCTTTGGTGCCCGCGCACGCTTTCAGTCAGGGGCCGTACTTGGGTGTTCAGCCAAGCTAGAAAGTTGCTGGCAGCCTTGGCTATAACCCACTTGTAAGTCCGCATAAGTCACTTTCAGTGGGAACCCTATTCTGAACGGAGTATCATCCAAGTGTGATCCAAGCGGCTAACCACGTATACACATCCCCTGGGACGTCTCACCGGGGAACTGTCCGGTGGCCCTGCCTTCCACCACTGCTCCGAGCGTGGTGCGCACTGAGGCAATTTCCCTGGCCGGTGACATGTTCCCCTTGAAAGCCGCCAGGGCACCAGCCAAAGCATTACTGGGCTACCCTCAGATCCCCCGATTTTTTAGTGGGTTAAATGGAAACACCACTAAACACTAAAAGGCTAAAAGGCTAAGGGGATGGCTGGGAGCCACCAAGATTAACTGGCATCAGAGGAGGACCAAACCCAAATTGTCAGTGCGTATATGTGTGAACAAGGGGCACCTGGAAACCAAATGGGCCAATTTGAATGCTTTGGAGCTTGAAGGGTTTTTTTTTTGAGACTAAGGTCAAAGAACAGCAATGTATACCACATGAATCCACCAAAGCGAAGGGGTGCAAGGCAACTTCTCGAACTTCTGCACGTCTGATTGATCAAATCAAACCCACACATGTACACTCTTTTTTCTTCTGTGCGTGTGTGGCTTAAGACCTTCTTGGGGGCTCACCACGTTTAGTGAACCCAAACCAAAAAAAAAAAAGTGCCACCTTCAAACGCCGAGGTATTTTTGGAGGAACAGCTGAGGTATGACATCCGGGGCTTCGAACTCTCCACCCTTTCCGGCGCCTTGCGACATGCCGTGCCGCAGCCAGAGCGTCATTTCATTCCGCACCTTCGGCACTGTGCATAGCCAGTCCAGTCGCACCGGGCACTTCCTGGCAGGGGTATCTTTTCGGTTTCTCGCCCGCACATGGCACCAGTCCGAACATGCGGGCCTACACCTGTGGTCATTAGTGATCCTTGGCTAGGCAACCTTTCATTCATAGGCGTCTTGCAGGGCCATCTATGCTCAAGGAACAAGGACATGCTTACATTGGTGGCTACAATCCAGGCTGGATGAACGGCCCTTGCCACACGTGGGCTGTTGGACAATGCCTTTGCTTGTCAACCCCTAACGCCCTCAAGCTTCGGCCCAGAAGCGTTTCTCCGCCGGATGTGACACGACAGTAAGCTCCCAGCTCTAGAGAGTCTCTACATTTCGACTCGCAGAAAACCCTCTCTCATTTAGTTGGTGACATATAACTAGCAGGCTTCAAACTTCAATCACCTGCCGAAGCAGCAGTAAGTTTGGTAATCAACTTGTACCTCTGCCAAGGGGCTACCTCACAATCCCCTGGATGCAAGCAACTTTTCTAAGCCCCTGTTCATTGCCAAAAATAGCACGCACAAGTGTGTGCTATGCATGCAGTGCAGCGGGTTGATACGGAAGCTATCTGAACAGCAACACCCGTCATATGCCACAAGTTCAAACTGTTTCCGCAACACACCATGCGCTTGCCATTTGGGTAGAGGGGGAACACAATATAAATCTACGACCCAATTCTTGTTGACATGCATTCCTGTCGGGCAACACTGTGGTCCAAAACCCCCTTGAATGTGAAGGTTTGAGCCTGGGCAACATGCCCAAACAGGTGTGTGTGCCTCACAGATCTTGGGCTGGGCAAACCTCTCCTAAGACCTCTTCTCTTTCTGCAGCCCGGGCGCCCACCGCGATTCTCCATCACCTGAACGACGCACATGCAGATTGAACGGCGTCAGGGCAAACAATGCTAGCTTAGGCTCATGCAAAAGACAGACACATGTCTCTTGGGATAACGGGCTTGACTAACACTGCAGATCGACCGTGAAGTTGCCCAGCAAACATGGGTTTGTATTTTTTTACGGGGGCCGGGCAGGAAGGTTTGAGTACGGGGTATGATTCGCAGGTATGATTCGCGGGTATGATTCGGGGTATGATTCGGGGGTATGATTCGCGGTAGTAACAATAGTAGTAGTAGTAGTAGCAGTAGTAGTAGTAGTAGTAGTAGTAGTAGTAGTAGTAGGTAGTAGCAGCAGTAGTAGTAGTTGTAGCAGTAGTAGTAGTAGTAGTAGTAGTAGTAGTAGTACTAGTAGTAGGAGTAGTAGTAGTAGTAGTAATAGTAGTAGTAGTAGAAATACATTTTGAATAGTAACAAAAGTAGTGGTAGTAGTAGTAGCAGTAATAATAATAATAGTAGTAGTAATAGTAGTAGTAGTAGTAGTAGTAGTAGGAGTAGAACTGTAGCATCTTGCAGCATACGTTTTAAGGGGTATGATTCGGGGGTATGATTCGGGGAGGTCCCACCTTCTGCCTTTTGAAGCAACTCAACACACCAAAAAAGGACAAAACCACATGGGAGAGAAGCTTTCGCTGGCTAACGGAAAAGGCTGCTGCTGAATTGTTGGGCGATTAACCGTAATGCTGGCTCCCAGCTCCTGGCCGTTCCGTCCGACTTCGCTGTTCCTACTTCAAAGGGGCATTGTACTTTGTAAGCTGGTTCTATCCATGGTAACCCACAAAAGCCGTGGTTATACGTCTCTGTTCAGTGGGTTGTAACCCCGCTGCGAACCACTTGCCTGACGTGCCTGGCCCCTTTTTACGTACTGCCAAGCTGCATATCGCAGGCCAGCGACGCATTCCCGCTGCAAGGCCCGTGTGGGCGCCGGCACCTGCGCGCTTGGATTCTCCGAGCCCAAGGACCGGATTGGACGAGTTGAAACACTTGGGGCTCAAACCGATTTTTCCCCTGTGCTGAAAGCAAAGACCCTTGAAGATGGCGCAAGCCTGACAATCCTGCCAGAAATCCCTTGCCAAGGTTTCCAGTCCCACAAATAAAGTCCAACTGGGTGGCCAATTGGGTAGCAAGCGCGTGGTCCGCAAATCCCGCAAATACTCATCGCCTTGCACTTGCCCTTCAAGGCAGAGTTATTTGCATCTAGTTAATTGGATCTTCGCACCCATTCGAAAAGCAACGGCCTTCCTCCAACACCAAAAAGACTTTGAGCCACGCCTCTTTGCCCCCGGCCTCGGTGTCTTGGGCTGGCCTCAAACATGAAACTGTCGTGCGCTTCAAAAGGTTCCTTGAAGAGACCTGTTGCGGGTTCTGTGATGAAATCCGCCGACCTTTTTCGGCATGCCGGATACCTAAGAGAGGATAGAGGATAACCCCCCCCCCTTACCCCCCCGGCCCGACGTCTGATGCATAGGGTTTAGGGGGGGGGGTCCCCACGTACCGCGCGGAAACGTAGTCTTCGGGGAGCTGGTGTCGCAAAACAGGGGTCCCAGGCTCGACCGGCTCTTTGCTGGTTTGGGTGTCCTGCCTCCTTTTGCCGAAAATATGGAAAACTCTGTGTTGGTTGACGTCCTCTTTGCGAAAACGCTGGAAACACCGTGTTTTTTGTTTGCGGGAAATACTGGGGAGCAAAGGGGAAATGCAAGGAAGTGCAAGGAAATGAGGGGAGGAAATAGGAAGTCGACATGACAGGAAAGCAAGGGGAAATGAAAGGGAAACAAAGGGGAACTGAAAGGGACATGAAAGGGACAGAAATGAAAACAAGGGGAGCCCAGGGGGAATGAAGGACAAGGACACCAATCGACACGACGGGAGATGTAGGGAAATGACTCGCGACGAAAGAACGGGACATACATGGAAAATGAAGCTGACATACCGAGAGAATGAAAGGGACATGAAGGGGGAGTTGAAAGGAATGGAAGGGACATGACCAGGACATCATGGGAAACGTGAAAAGGACATGAAGGGGAAATCAAGGAGAAAGCCAGTAGTAAGCAGACAGCTCAAGGTCATGAAGGGGCAGTGCCCGGACATCGAGGCAACTCACGGGGGACGTGACGCTGCAATGCAGAGAGAGAGAGAGACAGGGAGAGAGCTGAGGGTACCCTTTTTTCTGTAGAAGGGCGTGGGAAGGAGACAAAGACAGAAAGAGACAGAGAAACAGAGAGAGAGAGAGAGAGAGAGAGAGAGAGACAGAGCGAGGGAGATTGAGGAGAGAGAGGGTTGGGGGGATGGGGAGGATGGAGAGAGGACAACAGAACACACGGGGGAGGAGACAAGAGAGAGGAAGGAGAAAAGGGAGAGGACAATGTGGGCGGACTGAGCCGGAGGCTCTAAAGTTAGCTGAACATGAAAAAGGGTCGGATGCAGCAAGCCCCACAGTGCTGGCATTCCCCGCCCCCAACTTTGTATGAATGCAAGTGGCTGCGGAGGGCTTGTTGCAGCCAACCCCACCCACAACGCACAGTGCTGCCACTGCCAGGAAACAAACCCGGGACAAGAGAGACAAGTCACTTTCAGGTGAAAACATGGATGCATATTCATTTCAAGGGCGTGCAAAATGTATGGCAAAATAGCCAGCGAACTCCACACATTCAAATGGCATGTTCCACTCCTCATTGACTCTTCATGGCATGCAGAGTTAACACAGCAAATGCTGATGCCCAGCATTTGGAAGAAAGCATGCCGCAGTATTCTCACTGAGCAAGGCCGTGCCGAGTATGGCTGGCAAAGAAACATCCAGTTCGGCATGTTGCACTCAGCGGGTTGCCTTTGGCTGACACACCCCTCAAATGCGCCGACGTCTCTGTCCAAACTGCATGGCAAAGAGCCTGCGGGCTGCCAGTAGGATGAAGTCACACTTTGACATGCAGCGGAAGGCACACGTGCCTTTTCCCCTCTTGGGGGCCAGCATGCATAGAGGTGTCTGAAACCTCCCTGGCAAAACATACGTCATTCAATAACATTCAATGGCTCAGGAATCCAGGAAGTAGGCACGCATATCAAGACGGGCAAGTTCATGAGATGAACCTGCTTATGCAAAGCTCTGAGGTGAATCCTGTTGTGGGTAACCAAGCTCAACTTGTTGCTCCTAGTGCCAGCGTGCATCCGACCAATGCTTTTGTGTCCACAAATTGCAGTTCTTGCGGCATGGATTGTGCTAAACAAACAACACCAAAAGCGGTTTCCTGTTGGGGAAGCCATCAAACTGTTGAGGCCAACGGTCGGGCAAGCCCAACGAACCCTGGAAGCCCAGTTCCCATAGGTTGCCAGCCTGGAGGTGTCCCCTTGCAAACGTCCGCCTGACCAAGCTGCCCAGCCGGGGGTGTGCCCTTCGTGTAGGGATGCGTAGGGTTCACTTTTGGAGGGAACAGGAATGGTGGACCTTTGACACAGACTGCTCAACCGCCGAATTGCACAGTGGTCGGTTGATTGTGGCCCCAGGCCCGCCCGTAGTGACATGCCTCATGCCTCCTTTGTTCCACTACGCAACATGTTGCACTGTTCGACCTTTTTGGTGACAGCCTTTGAAGGCAAACAAGTGCTGCCAAAAGCTTCGGAGCACCATCCTCGAAAGGGCAGTCAGTGACTGACTGAGAGTCCTTCGTCCAACAAGCATTGCACGGACATTGGCAGGATCCTTCTGTAGACAGCTTCGCTTTTGGGGGGTTTGCTTGAGGGAGGGTATTTGAGTATTGTCTTCAGCGCTTGATATCCTCAATTGAACGCGGCTAGCTGACTCCATCTGAACGCGGGTAAGCCGGATAAGCAACGGCCGCTCGACCGGTCTAGTCCGCGAATATGACAGTCCTGGAACCTGAACATCTCACGTGAAGTGAATACTTGAGCATTGCAGATAAATCGCGTCCAACGTCTGGGGTAACATTCTAACCTTGCAGGTTGGCAACAAAGTTGCGTATCAAGCCTACAGGCCTCAGGCCAAACAGCAAGCCCCACACTGTCTGCTCAATCTTTCAGGCCCGACGCACAGACCTGCAAACAATTCAGCTGGCCTTAGAAAGGCGCACAAACAGGCCAAGAGCTACCGTGGCAAAAAGGACACATCAAAGAAGCTGATCAACAAACTGTCACTGACCACTCTGGCACTGGCAACTGAATCCATGGCCCCCAGCTCAACCGACTGGTCGCGTTCATTTCCCCCGGCAACCTGCACCATCCCCATCCAACCATCCGACCTGACTGCAGGGACACCACCTGGCCCTCCACCCGAAAGACCTGAGAGGCCAAATAGGCAACTTCCAGTGACCTGGCTTGACAAAAGGGAACTCTGTCCGTGTTTGCCTTTTGTTGGTTGTTGTGTTTCGTTGTGTGTTTGTTCTCCTGCGGGAGGGGGGGGGGGGGCACCACCAAACCAAAGGGGGGAAAGGGTGCCATCGAACCAGGACAAGTGGAGAGGGCTTCATTGGCCACTTGCGGCTTAATCGTCACTCAATCGTTCCACTGGCCAAGGAAGACATGTATAGACTGTGTGGCCCTCCTATGCCTCCAATAGTGTGTTCTGCTCAGGCATGACTAGGAGTTCGGCAAGTGTGCAGTGATTCAGGCTTCATTAGGCACGAATATGTTTCATGCCGGAGTGCAAGTACGTTCCGTGCATGTTGGTGTAATGTATGCGTGTGTTTATTGAACAAGCATGCATACACGACAATCGTCTACTTGGCATTGCCGCGGCTGGTGCGTTCCCTCTTGCGTGACCCTTCCGGGTGTGCTGATGCAGCCGGTGATTGCTTTTGGATGCTGTCATTCAACTTGAGGCAGCGGCTCGACAATCCGGCTCTCTCTTAAACAGAATCCTGAGAATCTGGCGTCTGGATGCTGGGCAATAAACTTCAAAAGCTTCCGGTCGCCTTGCAAAAGGAATGATTCGGCGTGATTGGGCATAGCCGCATTCATTTGGTAGGCTGCTCCAAATCGTTGCTTGCTCCGGGCAGCCGCTCGGCTTGATGTATGAGTTCGAATTGTTTAGAGTCCAAGACATATTCGAATGTTTCTTCTGTTCACTTTTGCTTGGAACAACGGGAAAGGTACCACTGCAAAACAGAACTTAGGACTTAAGTTTTCATTGATGGCTTGCCATTGGTGGCTTGCCTTGCCCACTACGGGAACTGGATCCAGAAGCCGGGCGTGAGTCCAATCCAACAGGCTCACATCGAATCCAATCAAAGTTGTCTAAGTGCATGCTGGACTCGGCCTTGTGTCAGACAGAAACTCTGCACTTGGAATTGCTTGCCTCGTTTTGGGGGGCAAACCTTCATGTGCAGCTCCGGGATGCATCCACGCCTAGTTGATGCCGGAGCTGCCGGTCGTACCGCAGCAGCTCGCCTAGAGACGCACCCAATCACTTCGACCCGACCGGCAGGCTCGATGGAGGATGATAGATCGTTCTTGTCCGAAAACGGGTGTGTCTTTCGTTAGGGGACCCGGAAAAATGGCGGTTTTCCTTGGCTTTCCTTTAAACACCATCCCAAAAAAAGGGTACACTCAAAATATACACTCCACTGCCGCCTCCCAAACGAATTTGAAGCAGCGACTAGCAGCATGGCAAACCAGAGGCACTCGAAGGCAAACGATTTCAAATGCGCCTTGAGCAGGGCTACCCTGCTATCGCGGGATTCAAGCGGATCTCAACCTGCCGTAGTTCTTTGGGACAACTATTCTGTATACATTCGTGTGTATATATATATATACATATATGTACACATATTACAAGACATTCTCCACACAACTGCAACTTTGGACCAAGGCATGCCAATGATTTGGCGTGAGGCTTCCCTGTCAAACTGGTCAGGGCAACAGGCAAGTCAACAGGCTGAAAGAATAAATCCACGATAAAATGCCTCAGCAACGACGTTTGTCCCGAACCCTGGGATCATTCAAGCAATGGTGGGATGTGTCCGTGGCAACAAAGGGACACTGTGATGTCCAGCAGGAGAGCGGGGCAGCTTGTGAGAAATGATGAGCTATCCACTCTGGTGCTTCTCTCTTTGCGGCTTTGCTTGGGCATGTTGCCTTGACATCACTGGATAGAAACAAAGTAACTTTCTTAGTGGCTGTTGACCTCTCTGCAAAAGTTTAACCTTTCTGTGGGTCCAATGGAACGCCCAGCCCAAAAAAGGTAAAGTCCAAAGATCCGACCTATAGCCATAAAGACTTGAGCCCCAAACAAAAGCACAGTCCGACAGAAAGCACAATATGTGCCCAAAAGCGTGCCCGCTTCCGAGGCCGTGCCACACCGCAAGGACCATCCAAATGGCAACAACCCAACAAAGATTCAACAAGTAAATAAACATCAAAATAACAACACCCCATTAAACAAACACAACACATGCATCAACCAATGCAAACAAAAACAACATCAAAAGTTGACACCACTCCATTGTTTGTTTAAATCCAGCAAAATCAACACGTCCAAACGACTTGACGCTCCAAATTCGGTGCCTGTGGTCGTCTTTCTTGCTTCAAGGCACTGGCAGGCGCAGAGCCCCCGTTGAGTTGCAGCTCCCGGGCCAAGGCCCGCAGTAGGTTGTCGTCCATGGCGAGTGGCTGTTGGTGTTGGGGGACGGCGCGGTGGTTTCTGTTTCTTGTTTGTCCTTTCTTTTTGCAAGGGGGGGGGGGCGTCTGCTCGTTGTTGTTGTTCTTGTTTCTTTGCTTTTTTTTTGGGGGGGCGGGGGGGGGGGGCTTCTGCGTCGTTTTTCTTTCTTTCTTTCTTGATGGTTTTTTTTTGGGGGGGGGGTTGGTTGGGGGGAGGGTAGCTGTTTGGTGCACCAGGGAGTGGAAGCAAACCTCGTCTCAAAGAACGGCGTTGGATTCTCCAAGGGGAGCAATTGTTTGAAGGGTACCTGGATCAATCCTGAAAGATTAGTAAGGAAAAAGCTCAAAAGTGGATGCATCAACCACCCAACCCACACATGCAATGATTGTCAGCTGATGCGTCCCAGGTGCAACTCTTCGGAACCGATTGAACTGTCTCATGGGGCAGTTTCCAGCCACATGCTCGCGCATGACGCCTTTGAGCCGGCCATGCCTCGAGGCATGAATACTTCTCACAGCTAGCGCTAGGTAGCCAGATTCCCCATTCGAGGCGAAGCCGAGGCGAAGACAGGCGTCGCTGAGACAAGGACCACTGGGAAAAGCGGTGGTTTTGCGACCTTCCCTGCAATCAAGGGTTACCTCACAGGAAACGGTGAACGGATCCTCATGACCCCCATCACCGGAGCCCCCGGTTTCCATTGTCGTTTTGACTGGTCAAATGACACTTAGTGTTTCAATTTCACCCTGCCCATGTAGCAGAATCCGTGAACCTGGGCAACAAACGACAAGGATGTCCCAACATGTCCCAACAAGGGTTGTCCACAAACCTAGGGGAAAGAAACAAACGTGCGCCTCGCCCTTCTGAGAAACTTCTGCGGCCTAGCGGGGGGGGGGGTGAAAACAAACTAGCTGGGCCTGCCTAATTGCCTTCGTGGTGGGCTGGGCTAGCATTAAATTGTTCAAGAAATTTGCCCTTGATGCGGGACCTGCTCTAATTCACCCCCTTCAGAAGAATGGGCAAGCGGCCAGTGCAAAACTTAGTATTGCCAACACAGCATTGCCAGTGTACATTTTGGGACAAGGTCTCACTAAGCCTTGACGGCGGTCGTAAGCGCACCCCGTTCATGAGAAGATATTGAAAGATATGCAACAAATCAGCTCCGATGACAATGCACAACGGGAAAAGAGCTGTCTATTGCTGACCCAAAACAGGTACAGATACTCCAGGGGACACAATTTTCACATCCCAGCGCAACAGCAGTTCCAACGTTAAGAGGAAAACGCACTGCTGATTAAAGAAGGGCTAACTAATTCAGCTTTCCGCAGGAAGCCGAAGAGCTAGCACATTTTCATTGCTGCTCTGCAATTCTTCTGCCAGCGTCTCTGTACAAGCTCAGATGCACGGCGACCTCACGAGCCACACAGGAAAACAAACACGTGGAAGCAGGCTGCCTTGCGCTGCCTTGGCCACTTAAAGTGGGTGGGAGTTGTAGTGGCTGCGCCTAAAACCAAGCTGCATTCTAAACGGCGCAGGCAGTGTGAAAGGATGTGAAAGGTGTGACATTTGCCAACACAACCACACTGTGGAAAATTTCCTCACTTGGCCAAAGCAGCTGGGAACTCGAGAATGACGCTCTTGAACGCTTGCAGGTGCTAAGCGCTGCCCTCTACTGAAGTCGCGAGTAAACCATGTAGAATTCCAGTATCCCCTTCTGCCTTCAGCACAACACAGCTGGGGCCCCCAACTGCTTTGCAGCCATCCGATTGGCTCCTCAACTGCGCCAATCACCATGTCTGGAGGCCTCCCTTCTAACTCCTATTCCACCAGGGGTAGAACACCTTGCTTGGCCAATGGTTTTGGCTACTGCACATCTGGTCTTGCTGACAAAACCGATGTCAGCTTTGGTGCTGTCAACTTGGGCATTGTCTTCGGAAGAATGTCGGATACGCGTAGGAGGCTCAAAATCTTGGCCACCGGCCCCTTGCATCAAGTTTGGCATGTTGCATTGCAAACACTAGCTCCATTTGAGCAGTCATCCTTGTGAGAACCCATCCAGCGGGGTTCCTCTCAAGCACCCAGTCCTGCTACAAGGTGCTGATGACCTGCCGCGCGGCATGAGCTTGCGCAGCAGAAACCAGTACGTGCAAGGGCCAGCCACGCGGAAAGAACCCTGCGCAACAAAAAAACACCGGGGAATCATTCATAGCCATAGCTGTGCCATAGCTTGCCCACAGCTTGGGATGCAAGAGTGTGATCGTGCAGCCATCCGCAGGGTTTCCCTGGATCCGTGATGCGCTGATGCTTAAAAAGTGTTTCGGTTTGGTGTGTCTACATGGTCTGACCGCAGCACAGCAAAGAGCCGCCAACATTCGAACCCGGTTCTCAGTAGTACATAAGTCAGCTCATCAAAGATGGCTGGTCCATAAACATCCGGTGCATGAAGGTTTTGAGAGTGGAGACCAGCACCTCCACCATCACTTGCGCCGCGAGTGTCAAAGCTCTGGACAGTATAGCAAAGACAACGATGTTGGGGGGAGCTTTGCCAAGGAACCTGCCACAACAACTGCTTGCAAAGCAAAGGGCCGACCTTGCGGCAGCGTCCCTCCTTGCCCCTGACAATGACAAACTCAGGCACCTTCCAACCCTGCATGACACCCCATTGATCTTTTAGGGGGCAATGTAGAACTCTGTATGTGCACCTTGGCAAATCGGAGTTCCCAAAACGGCTGCTGCAGGGCCCTCTCCAAGGGAAGATCCTAAGGTGGCATGTTTGACCCAAGACTCATCAACTCCTGCTTCAAGAGGGGATGTGGGGTGCCCCGACAAGAAACACGCACATTCCTCAGATCTTTCAGCCGGGACCCATGCGCTTCCCCTCGCCACACGGGAGGCCTCCTGAAAGAATAGCTCAAGCCTCGTGTGCCGAGGCTGCACGAGACTCAGTTGCCCTAACCTTTGGGGTCATGACTAAAAAAGGACCAAAAATGGAAAACCAACAGGTCAAAAGGTCAGCTGTGGACAAGTGAGGCAAACATGCGATCCTCACGTACGAGTATCATACTTTCTCATTTATGAGGACTGTGCTTTGCTACCTTGTCCCGGAAAGCACGTGAGAATTTCGCGGGCCGATTGTCCATCTCCATGTGGATCGTTTCATGCTCGATGGCCAACAGCTTGCCTTGTTCATCCCCAAGAACTCCCAACCATTGACACCTTGTTCAAGTTCATGCTCAGCAAACAGTGACAGACAAGCGAAGCACCTAACAAGACGCCACAACTAATGGGTTGCGCCAGGGTCCGGTTGCCACCTGTTTTTCAGATACGTCCCTAGCGGTTGGGGGGATCCATGCATGTCAATCAAAAGGCTGCTCAGGGTGGTCTGCAACGCAGCGCCATCTCCAAACGACGCGCAGAGTGGTCTTTTTGCCCGTGGTTCCTCAAGAGGACTCGTCTTGAAGGGGTGGCCAAAAACAGTACCCAAACTGATTGCTTGCCACTACATTCGTCTTCCTAAAAAGTTTAAAGTCCATGAGCTCAGGGCTCGCGAGTTCTAAAAGCGTCTTCGGGCCGAGGTTCCCTTCAGCCTAAAGAAGAAGCCAAACCCGGCCAATTTGCCTGGGGACGCCCCAAAATGGCTTCCCTTTGCCTTCTTTTGAAACGCAACAAAACTTGCTGGTGCTCCGTAGGAAAAGACATTCCGGGTGTTGGGAATCAACCGTTTCGGGATTCCCTCAAAGGAAGCCATAGGGAATGGTTTGTCCCGGGGTCACAGAAACTAATCTAAGCGCTAGGACCCGTAGGAGCTACAAAGAGGGGGCCGACTTGTGGCCCACTAAACAAGTCTGGGTCTGGGACACTTGTCAAATCCAAGGAATCTTCTCGTCAGCACTCATTGGTCCACACGCTCCGGGTAAAGCGAGCCAGCGATTGCGGGTTTCATGAAGGTCCCTTACTTAATTCGGTAGCACAAGGTTTCATGAAGGTAGCACAAGGTATCTTAGTGCGGCCCTGGGCATGAAATGCAGCATGTCTCTCCACCTGCAAACCTTAGGCCCTTGTACCAATGAAAGCCATTGAAAGGCCCGAAAAGCACGTCTCATCATGTCGTTGTGTATGAGTATGGTTGGTTTACTTGCAATATGGTAGGGGCATCCGCGGCACCCACCAAAGTAAGATGTTGCAATTGTGTCCACTCCCTCCCTGCACCTCAAGCCGGATCCTAGCAAAACGAAAGTTGCCTCTGGTCTTCTAGGCACTCGGGGCCCGCTTGTATTTGATGACCTCCCAGTTTGCTGCATGTTTGGCAACAAAGCCAGGCAAAATGAAGGTCAACAAAACGAGGTTTGGGAGTGGGAAACAAGGCCTTCGACCCCGTGAGCGAAAGCTGAATTACTTCGTTGTGCCCCAGATTGGAGAATTTATGTTTGTCAGAACGGGCTAATCCAGAAAACATGTGGCACAGGGTCACGCCGAAATTGAGAGCATGCCACCTGATTTGCAGGCTCCGCACTGTGTTTTGTCGAACGCGAGAAGAACAATAGCACCACCACTGTCCGCCAACTTGTTGGAAAGCGCCGAATCCTGCCACCTGCAGGCCAAAAACCGAGCCTTTCCGTCTCACAACCAGTCAAGTGGAGTCTGAATCCCACTGCTGTCGCCGCCATCGTTCGGATCGCCCCAAGTCATCACAGAGCCGTCTTCCAGGATGGCAGCAAAAGCACTCCGAGTTGCTTGGATCTGATGGACCCGCGCCAATTGCTCTCGCACCTGGCTGCTGTCACCGCCCCACTCAGGAGCACCCCAAGTGACCACAGAGCCGTCGTCCAGAATGGCAGCAAAAGCACGCTGAGTTGCTTGGATCTGCTGGACCCGCACCAACTGCTCCCGCACCTGGCTGCTGTCACCGCCCCACTCAGGAGCACCCCAAGTGACCACAGAGCCGTCGTCCAGAATGGCAGCAAAAGCGTGCTGAGTTACTTGGATCTGCTGGACCCGCACCAACTGCTCCCGCACCTGGCTGCTGTCACCGCCCCACTCAGGAGAACCCCAAGTGACTACTGAGCCATTGTCCAGAATGGCTGCAAAAGCAGTCCGAGTTGCTTGGATCTGCTGGACCCGCACCAACTGCTCCCGCACCTGGCTGCTGTCACCGCCCCACTCAGGAGCACCCCAAGTGACCACAGAGCCGTCGTCCAGAATGGCAGCAAAAGCACGCTGAGTTGCTTGGATCTGCTGGACCCGCACCAACTGCTCCCGCACCTGGCTGCTGTCACCGCCCCACTCAGGAGCACCCCAAGTGACCACAGAGCCGTCGTCCAGAATGGCAGCAAATGCAAAATTAGTTGATTGAATCTGCCGGACGCACACCAACTGCTCTCGCACCCGGCTGCTGTCGCTGCCACAGTAAGCATTACCCCAAGTCACAACAGAGCCGTTGGACAGGATGGCAGCAAAGGCATGCTGACTTCCTTGGATCTGCTCGACGCGCACCAACTGCTCTCGCAGTTCGCTGCTGTCACCGCCAAAGGCACGACTGCCCCAAGACACCACAGAGCCGTTTTCCAAGATGGCAGCAAAAGCATGCTGAGTTGCTTGGATCTGCTGGACCCGTATCAGCTGCTCTTGCACCTGGCTGCTGTTCCCGCCGCGATTAGGATCGCCCCAAGTCACCACAGAGCCGTTGGACAGGATGGCAGCAAAGGCACCTTGTGTTGCGTGAATCTGCTGGACGTGCGCCAACTGCTCTTGCACCTGACTGCTGTTACCGCCTCGGCCCGCATCACCCCAAGTAACTACGGCACCTCCTACTGCATGAAGGGCAAACGCTTCTGATGTGGAAGCTAGCTTGACGCGTTGCACGATGGCAAGAATGCTGTCGCCATTTCGCGCGCCCACCTCATTCAACGTAGATGACGGGTCCAGCTGCAGACCTCCAAAGGCAAAGCTCAGATAGCGGCACTTGAGTTGTTGTTGCACCTCAGCCTTGAGTTCATGGATGCTCGACTCCGAAGAGAGCGCAGCGGAGCATCTCTTCCCACTTGCCAAGTGCACATGCACTTGCATGGCGCCGAAAGTCCGCCTGGGCCGAGGGCAGGGCAAAGGGCCTGCTAGGAAGGGAGCAAGGCACAGGTCAAAGTTCAACGGCAAAAGCAAGCAAGTGCAGATTTCTCCGCTTCCCCGCTTGTGAAGGAAAGCAAAGTACAAGGTTAGCAGGGCACCTTGCAAGCCGCCCATGTGCACACATCCCAACCTGAGCGTTGGAAATATCAGCCGGTAGATCCTAAGACTCCGAGTCTTTGTGCGGGAAATGACAAATGAGGCACCCCGTACCACACCTTTGCCTCAGGTTTGAATCGGAAGCCCAGAAACGTGAAGCCTCAAAATAAGAATGAAACAAAATGCCGAACAAGCCTGCTAGCCACATCAAACGAATGACCAACACATCACAAAGGAGGCAGACTCATGGATAGCATGAAACCGCACATGCACAACCAACCCAAAGCAAGCCAGTGAAGCGGCATCTACGCATCCCCCCCCGAGGCGGACCAACATGAGCAGCCGGAGAAAGCTAACAGGGATCGAAGCCCTCCAACAGCACAGTATGCCAAACAGCCAAGCCAGGCATGAAGCAAAGCCTGCTTTAAACTTCAAAGGTTGATCTACACAACACCTGGCGCATACACAGCAGAAGCAAAAAACAAGCACAGCCACCGCCCAAACAACACAAGCACACAGGTCCTGAAGCTACCTGCACCTCCGTGGTTCCACTGCCACTGTTTGGCGGGGGCGGGAAAAGCCAAACGCAGTGTGCTGTTCATGGACGCAGCACGCACCAGGTCTCTTCGCAGCCGCAAGGAGGTCTGATGGCCAGTTGGTACTTTAGCAGAAAAAGCTGCAATCTTACCATCACCTGTGTTAAGGAACCACCTCAACAAAGATCACCCGCTCCCTCCTGCACATGCGTCCAGGTGCAAAATGGCTGGAAACCAAGCCCGAACGAGTGCTGTCCATCTTCAAGATGACTCGAGCTCTGCTACTTCCGGCATGGAGGACTTTCGAGAGGCGTGTTCTTCGGGGTCCCATCTCACTTCACATGAGCATGAGGGAATCTGCATGCATGCAGCAGCCAACTCCGCATCTGATCAAGTTTTGAACACAAGCTGGGACTGCGGCGTGGTGTACACGTTCACCATGTCGATGGTTAATGCCTGGCGCAGGGTGAGAATGCTGAAGGCTTCAATTGCCCAATGTACCAGTTGATTGATGTCCTGTGAGCAGCGGTTGGTAACTCGGGGGAGGTTGATACACAAGCACAAGCATACAAAACCAAATATCTGGATGTCCGTTTAACCATGCCTGGCCATCCACACTCGGATTCGGGGGCCACTTCCCTTCCCAATATTTCAAAATGCTCGAATGTTAGTGGTGAATCCCGCAACTGCCCTGGTGCCTTCCTCGCTCTTTCCGCGGACCCGTCTCTCAGGGGAAAAACTACAACGCCCAAGAAGACAAGAAGAACAGCTGTAGTTGAAAAGGATGATGGTTGAACTGGGCTGCCCTCAGATCCCCCCGCTAAAAGTTCAATTAGTGGGTTAAATGGGAACTACCACTGAACACTAAAAGGCTAAAAAGCTAAGGAACCGGATGGCACCATCCGGAAGAAAAGTTGCCATGGGAATTCAACCCCTGCCATCAGCTCCAAAGGGGGATGCGTGCTGAGCCCGCGGAGCCGCCTCCTTCCACGCATCTGCCAGGAAGCCGGATGGGCCCTGAAGCCGGCCGAGCGCCAGGCCACAAGAATACTTGAGGCAAATCACCATACCCATCAGGCGCCCGGTGGATTTCCATAGGAAAACAAGAATCGGCACCTGTTTTTCTCGTTTTCTTTTTTTGCGGGGGGTTGGTTGACTTGAAAGGGAAACCCTTCCCAACACAAAGTTGAAAAAAGGGCACCACTGGGCCACTGGGCAAAGGCAAGCAGACAGCATGCCTGGCCCCATTTCGCGATCCTTTCTGCAAACTTGTCTCAAGCAAAGATGCGACCACATCATGGCAAGCATTGGGATCAGAGTCAGAGTCAATGAAATCTTGGGCCAAAAGGGATCCCTCAACACAAATACATGTCTTGAACAGGAGCCATCTGAAAGATGACACTGCTTACACGAAGAGCTTACCCGTTCTGTACGGGTCCATCCTCTTGTGATGCCGTAAATGCACCAATCTCGAAGCAGGTCCGCCCTGCTTTGCTTTCCATGTGCCTCCCAGGCTTGCGAACCAAGCGGGTCAAATTGCCATAGGTTTGAACAGGTGCCAACGCGTATGCCGGGCCAATGTGTAAATGCAACATGTCGTTCATGTGGAAAGCCCAGTGCAGCCTGCACACGGCGGGCATCGCAATATTGAAATGAAACGCGGCTGGTTTGGAGGGAACAGAACTGCCCCAGAGAACCCGAAGAAGTAAGCTGCGCCCAAATTACCGAACCTTTAAAGGCGCACCTGGCACCAGGCCCCTAAATACGACCCGGCGCATTCGTATTTAGGGGGGCCCCCGTCCGCTCAGATAGCCTCCCCACCGATGATGAAGACGGCCTTGGGCGAAAGGGGCGCTGTGAGCAAGTGCCGTTTCGAAATAAAATGGAGGTCCCGTGACATCCTTCCAGAAGGCTGGAAACCTGGCTAAAAGAAGCATTTTTGAACCTTGGCCATTGCGACCAGCATGACGCTGACTTGACCTCTTCATAGTTTGTAGAGAGCTTCTTTCCCTTGTCCCTGGGTTTGGTTGGAGGGGGAAACAATTGTAGGGAGTCCACGAAAAGCGTGCTACCCGTCGCCCTCTGCTTGGGGAACAAAAACGATGCTAATTTCAAGCCTGTGGATCATGTCGCAGATACGCTGAGAGCGTGCGACTACCTGCTCAACCAACATGCTGGAAGAGCCAATGATTATTTGCAGACCACATCCTGACACAGATGTCTACATCAACGTGGCCTGAAATGCTCAGGCTTCCAGCGTCCGAAGCCTGCATATGGATGAGTTGGGGAAAAAAGCGAGAAGAGGTAAAAAAAAAGTCACAGGCGCTCTCGGAAGCAGCTCGGAGCCCAGCGTCGGTTTCCAGGTCGATCTGAGCAGGGCGTTCTCTTCTCTTCTCTCCACTTGCACGCATTCTCCGGTGAACGGTGGGTCCGGACCTGTTTTTGCCAGGCCCCAATCAAGCCAGACCACCCACCTGACACAGGCCGGTCTTAGACACCTGCTAGGGCAGCATGCCCAGCTCTGGCGGTCCAAGGGGGCACCTGAGGAACGTGCAAGATCATGGAACCGCCAGGGCTGGGGAGGTCCTAGAAGACTGTTCTCTTCAAAAGTGCCGGCCCCCCCCCCACAGGTGCCATACGACCCTCGGTCCAACGACCATTTTCTTCCTGACAATCGGAGGGAATTGTCAGTGCGTAGTCCCATTCGTGTTCCTCTGTTTCTGAATTGGCATTCCCGTAAAAGCACGCAAGGGGGCGTACAGTTGCCTCCAAAGCGTCCGTGACTACAAGCGCCCACTTCTCAAGTGATTTAGTCCAAAGGATGCTCGTTCTTAGCAGCTCTTTTGAGCAAGGAGACGCTCTTTCAGACCCTCTTGTGAGCATACAGTACGTTACTGATTAAGCAGGCAGGGTAAAGGCAACGCACGCTGTGTGTCTACTGTAAGTAGGGCAAGGGTTTGGTTCAGTTGCAATATTGAGTGCACACCCTTTGCCCGGAAGCAAAAACAGCAACTATTGGACACATCCCCACTTCAAAATGCTGCTCACTTCAAATGCAGAGGGAGCAAACCCTTGTTAGAACCCAGGTTGACGTTGTGCAGCATTGTACTTGCTGAAGCAACTGCTTGGGGACCGCGTGTTGAAGGAGACCTTTGCGCTACATGCAAACAAGTTCCGAAAGTCAGCACACATCACGCCCAATCCGCTGGTTACAACTCATCAACTAGCGCCATCCTTCGATCCCCGGCGATCCCCGGCCGCAACCGGCGAGCTCCAAGCAGGTTTCCCATTCAAAGGGGGCCATGGTGGTCAACCTGCGCAAACGGATCTCTTGCCATGTTCCACTCAACTTAAAAGCAATAATCAGCCGTCCTGGCTGGCTATGGATTTCCAGGGCTCTGGCTGCGGCCAAAATCCACCTCAGGCTGGCTGGTGATCTGGTGAGCTGGTCATCTGGCCCTCTAGTGCTGCAGGTGGCTGAACAAAGGCGCTGCTCCCTACTGTGCACCACTTGAAAACCATGCGAAACCATGGTTCATTGGTATTTACAGGGGAGTCATCGCTCCAGGCTTTCTTAGATGCAGGACTTCCTCCACAGTAGGATGTTCCAAGCAGTGCCCAAACCTGCACCAACCTCTTAGGAGGGCTGTTCAAGGTTTCAGGCAGTTCGAGACAACTGTCAACATGTGCTTGCTCAGCTTGGTTGCAGGCAGCTCCGAGCGACCCCACAAAAAATAAATAAACATGTGACAACATCTAGAAGATCTGAAGCGTCAGGTTGAAGGCTTACAAGAACCACTTTGTAGGACATACTTATGTGACACTTATGTGAGTGTGTGCGTGTGTCGGTGCATCTCTGTGCGTCTCTCTGTGTCTCTGTGTGTCTCTTCTCGTGTCTGCGTCTCTGTCTCTTAGAGTGCATCTTTGCGTCTCTGTCTGTTTGCATTTGTGTGCGTGTGTGTCTCTGGGTGTGTTTGTTTTCGAACGATAGGGTAGGCGAGGCGGAACGAAACAAACAATAAACGACACCAACACAAATACCGCCCCTGCCCTCCGATAGCCAAAAGAAGTGACAATGTCAGCCCCAATCATGTGCTGCTATTATCGGTTGTGCCTGGATTGGGTATGCTGACAACTACCTGATTGGCGACACCGCACGTTGTTCATTGTTCACCTAGTTGGCCTTCTAGGGAGATTGCAATAACTCCTGCAAGGTGAACTGGCTGACGTCTGACAACAGGAATTTGTGAATGGGTGCTTGGCATGGTTTGGACACTATATGACAATTCGCCCTACTGTGCCAGTCTCGAAGTCACTCCACATTTGACCTGCAAGCAAAGCTAACACAATGTTACTCTATTGACCCCACGCCAATTTGTCTGGGCGCCCTTTTGTTAACGACCTGAAAAACCGAGCATTGCCTGTGAACCCTGGGATTCGCCCCCCAAGGCAGGAGTTAAATTCTAAGCCGCGTGCCTCTTGGCACAGCACAGATGAAATCCTGAGCCTTACCCATCCGAGCCCTCGGCTCAGGAGGCGTGGTGCGAACGTTCAGCCTCTCGGGTTGCCACTGGGCACATAGGTTACCTGCTTACCCGTAGCCAGCACGTGACACCAGCAACAAATTTCAAATACAAGGATATCTTTGAGCCCTCCCCAAAGAAGCAGGCAGGCATCATAGAGCTCGCCTTGATGCAGGCTGCATGCCTCTGATCCCCAGCTTGGTACCGAATCAGGCCAACTGTCACCAACACGTTGCACCCAGACACATGCTGAGCGCATGCCTGTATAGCATTGCCAGGCCCGCCCCCGTTGAGAAAGATCCCGCCCGAACTTCAGGGACCCTGGCAGGCATTCACACGTCTCGTCTCAATGTCCGTGGGCCACAAGACCACCACTTGGAAGAACCTTGTGACTCTGAGACGGTCTTTAAAAACACAGCATGCATCCTCCTCGCCGTTCTGCGAAAGGTTCCTTTGAGTAGCGCAATCTAGGAAAGGCTGGCTGGCGGAGTTTGCACACCCGCCTCTCGTCACTGGTTTTCTTCTCCCACCAGTTCGTTGGAGCTGCCTGACACGATGAAACATATTGCCCAGGGGAATGGGACCATTGTGCCAAAGCATGCTTGTCGGAGGCCTAAAGAACGAAATATGGAGCCACACACCAAAAGCTCGCAACACACCAAATTTGCCAAAGCTCGTGAAAACAAGAAAGCTCAGAAGCCGAACCCGATGCCGAAGCGGATTTGTGCAAACAAAGAGAGACCCCAAATATTCAATCATACTCTTGGACAATGCCCATACTGCAGGGAATGTGCCAAATGACCACTACTCATGAGATCACCCAATCCTGAGAGACCCATCCTGACCCAAGATGGGGTCCCAATCCTTTCGGGTTCCCACTCTGTTGCTGGGGCTTTGGCACCGGGAGACCTGGGAGTGAAAGCATTCAGGGAACGAAAGAGGCTCGCAAAGGGCCAAAGGGATGAGCCACGGAATGCTGCCAAGCCAGCACACATCCAAATCAAGCGGCCGACGGACAGTTTGGGGATGGAAGCAGTGACTTCCTGCACCAACAGCTGGCTAGGGAGAAAAGGCCTTTTCGGGCCCCGGCGCACGAGTGCTCTGGCGCGCCTCAGGTGGTGGCAGCTCCCAAACTCTTCGGCTGAAGAGGCCTGGCGGAATGGCAAGTCACAAGGCACCACTCAGGAACAACCGGGTCCTCCTAAAACTGCTGCCTATCCTTCCTTCCAACCGCTAGTGACCCTTCCTCGCTCAAGCGCCAAAGAGCCGCAAGCGCTTCTTTTCAAAGCCGGTCTCCAGCCAGCGTCTGGATGCGGAGGAGGTGGCTCTGGACATGCTGGTGGTACCTGAGCTCGGCAAGGGATCCGAGGGCGCTTGCGGATCCATGGGGAAAGAGCACGAAAGAGCACTAAAACAGGGACCAACGGGGGGGAAGAGCGGGCAAAAATCACCGAAAGCGATTTGAAACCGGTTTCTAGAACAAACGGCTACCCCAAGCCGAGGCACATGGTTGACAACACCCCCCCCCACCCTTGTCAAACCTGGCCAGTCCTCTCCGGTCCTTTCCTGTGTGGACCCCTGTCCGGCCAATAGGACTGCTACAGGAAAGCAAAAGGAAACAGACACTTGATTTCCAGAGCTGGAGCGAGCCAGGATTCATCAGAGGGATTTTGTGTTAGTCGGGGATACCCTTTACGAGCTTGTCAAACCTTGCTCTTTGCCTAACACAAATTGTAATAGGGAGTTTGCTGCTGTCGGCTAGACGTATTTTTTGAATTCTGGAATGGCAACCCTTGAGACTATGAAAGGGTATTTGTCATGGCTTTGGTGATGAAAACATTCCATCCCGTTGGTTGAGTATTTGTTGGATTTTGCGTCGGGAGGTGCTTCAACAATATTCAGAGAAACCTTTTGTGTAGTATTGTCTGGCAGTCGGCTGGGAAAAACCCCGTGCGTCTTTAATCAGAAGGGGTTATTAGCGTGCCGACATTGCTGACACTGTGAATAAACCACTTGGCTTCTCATGGCCAGCTGCTGATGCCATGTGGATTGAAACGGATCATCACTTGTCCCAAGCACCTCGAAACAAAAGGTTAACCTTTTGGAACCTCCACTAAAAACGAGACCAACAAGGAAACACCAACAGGATCCAACAGGTCAGTGCAGCCCGATTCGCTTTGAACAACTGAGGGTCTTAAGGCCTCAGCCACCAGCTCGGGGCTCTTCGGCTTTAACCAACGGAGGATCCCCCATTTTTTCCAGCTGGCCCTTGAGGCCCAGCTGGCCAATTTTAGCGGAGGCGCCGGTCGTCGCCGTTCAGCTGTCGCAAGATCTCTGCGGCTCTTTGGAGCAGCGCCAGGGCGCCGCTCTGCCGCGCCTCTGCCCAGCACTCCTGGCGAAGGCGGAAGCTTTCCACGTCCCGAGAGAAAAACAGCACCAGATCCCGACCAGAAGGGGGAGGTGCGGGGAAACGTCCCCCAAGTCCATGTAGCTAGTTGGCCCCATAAACAAGGAAAGTGGAACCATACATGATGGAATTTCAGGTCCCCCTCCCCAAAATCCATTTTTGAGAGGGTGGGATATCACCAGACCAGAGGAGCTCACAAAATGAACCGAAGGTGTTGTTTGAGGTCACCCCCAAAACCGACAAATGAATTTATCAGGAGTTCTGCTTGATCATGTGCATATTTTTGGGAATGTCAAGCAATTCTGGGAGTAGGCCACCTGGTTTACGCCTTCTTCGGGGAACCCCCCGCTTTCCACGTCCTCGGCCGGGTCTTCTTTCAGAATCCCAGTGAGGCTAAAGGTCCACATGGCCAAGCTCCTCGGGCGTCCGCTTATCCGGAAGGCACTCCGGAGGACAAATGGAACCAGAGGGATCTCCGTTTGGAAGGACCCCTCTGATTTGTTTTTCCGTGTTGATTCGCCCAGAGGGCAGTTCAAGACTGCTTTGGAAGTAATGACATGCTTTGTGTTTGCCTGAATTGGACACAACATCTCCCAAAATGATTGGTTACCCTGGTTCGTCAGGCAGCTGCTCATCATTTGCTTCAAAGCTGTTACTTTGCCGCGGTTCGCGACGGGGAATACTTCCGAGCGTCCCAAAGGGGAGGGCCATGCCGTGCGAAGCACCACGGGTTGCAAATTGCAATTGGGGACCAAGGCTGTCCGAAACCGCCTACACCTGAACATTTGATTGCTCTGGGTGAAGATGGTCGAATGAGCCACAGCCACGAACGACTGTCAAATTTTGGGCCGTGAGAACATGCAAAACACAGACACACATGCCCGCTAGATGGTTCAAGCATGGGCAACTCAGCAACCCAGTGCCGTGAGAACACGCAAAACACGGACACACATGCAAGCTAGATGGTTCAAGCATGGGCAACTCAGCAGTGCCAACCCGAGTCTTCTGCGGCTGCTTGAACACATCAACTGAAATGAACACACAGGGCCACGACTTGAAACAACTATTCACGTGTTTATCCCTCGCCTGGGTGTGTAGTGGAAAACGCCTCTGTAACTTGTTTTCCCCGACCTCAAGAGGGGTGTGGGAACCAGGGGACGCTCGGAGTTCAGAAGGCCCAAAGGGGCCAAGCTGGTTGCGACTGGCAACCAGAATGCGCACAGACTTCACAGGAGACCCTCTAAAAAGAGCGGCCGCCTCTACCTCGTTATCCTATTTCGGCCTTGGGCGACATGATGGGAAGCCTTCGGGCATCAAGGAAACAAAAACGTCGGAAGTCTGCGAAAGGCCGAGAAGCTGCATCACCCAAGCTGTGTGCGAGTTGCACACGGCCCCGTCATAGGCCTCCTGAAAACTGGGCTCTCTTCATAGGCATGGCATGGCTGAAGCCAAAAAGGGCCGGATGGTGCATTTGAATCTCTGCTCTACCTGTAGCTATACGCCAAAGATAGGAGACTCAATCGAAACTGCACCGTTACGAACTATCAAGGATTATGATTCTTGTCTTGCTGCCTCAGTTCCACGCGGGCCTTCACTCTCACCACTCTGGTCTTGCGATGTCCCGTGCCGGGCGTCGTAGGCCGTACCGACCCTTCAACAGCAAGCATTCAAGGTGACTCCAGAAACACAAATCGCCAACTCTTCCCAGCAACTCCTGCAAGAACTGCAGCCGCTTCTCTTCGCACTGCTTTGCTTCCAGCTTGGTACTGCAACCTGCCATGAGCTGAATGCCCGCCCCGCGTGCCCCGCCCCTCTCCCGCAGGCCTTTGGCCAGCCACTTCCACAAGCATTCGGTGGCCCAGTGCCTGGGGCGAGGTCCTTGCCTGTTGCTTTGCCTCTAGGCTTTTAGCTCAGAAAACGCACTGCATAAAGGCATGGTTCCAAGTTTCAAGGCCATGCTGGTGTGGTATGGACCTGTGGTGCACGCACGGCCATTCAAGTTTGAGCTAGCCTGCTTCAAGGCACGGTGGACTGAAGGACATGAGCTTGCTCATCTTCGTGATGTTTTAGGAAGGCATGGTTTTGGCCTGCAACACTCCCGGACTACGCCCAGCAACTCGGCCTGGTAGCCTCCATGTCTGCTCAAAACCAGGCGCAGCGCTCCGGCAAACGCAAAGCGCATGTTTTTGACGCGATGCAAACTAGAAACAACCATGTTTTCACGAACACCCGGCAGCTTCTAACTGGTCGGCGAGAAGTGGCCACAGCCCTGGGAGTCCCAAATTGATGGACGGAAGAGGGCCAGCAACGCAAAATAGACATGTCCCGTTGCAAGAGTTGCAGGGTTGGAGTTGCTCGTGCGGTCGAAGGCCCTTCCTAGGAACAATATTGTACACATGTATATTGTGTCTGCTGGCCGTTGGATGTTTGTCCCCCCCGCGGTCTGCACCTGTACTAGTGCCTTCTCAAGATTTTGTCGGCTTTCTGCAAAGCCCCTGCAATCAGGGAACCCGCCGTCCATAGGCCACGAGGCACTAAACATACACACTTTTTGGCTGATTGATCCTGAAAAGCCGACCCCACAAAACAAGCGCACCCTTGCACATAAAGAAAACCAAAAAAGCCGAAGGACAGACAAACTAAACACAGCGGTCCAAAGCTTGGTTGCTGTTGACCCCCCTGCAAAAAGTTTAACTTGTTGGGGGTTTAGTGGAAATCCCCTTGATTTCCCAAAAAGTTAAAGTCTAAAGATCCAACCCAGTAGCAGTCAAGAAAGCGCCTATTTTCACCCACGCCAAGCCGGCCTTGGCAGCAGCTGCTCTGCCGGCCCTGCGAAGCGTTGCGCGGCAGCAGCCTGCGCGGCAGCGTCCTCGCTGGTCCTGCCAGCTGCCACGCTCGAGTGCCCAAACGTCGCCCATAGCTTCGGGGGGTCATGACCCAAACACCTGGCAAGCCAAAACCCAACCGTATCTCATGTATGAAACCTTAAACAAAGTTGAATAAAAGCCGTGGGGGAAATAAAGGATGTATCAACCCATATCATAAAAGTGGCCAGCCTAACCATGTAAGGAGTAAAAAAACCAAAAAAAAAAAAAAAACGGCTTCCAATGTTTGGTTGGGATAGTCCTCTGCTAAGCTTCAATCAGGTCTCATTTTGGCTCATGAGCCTGGCATTACATGTATTCAACCTGCCACACATGCTGGGCACTTCCAACAGAACCGGACAAATGCAGTCCTTTGAAAGGAGCAGTCCTGAAGCAACCAACAAAAGCCCAAGTTCCCTGACGTTTCCCCAAAGATCTCAAGCCAGCGTCGCCAAGTGGTGTTCGCGCCTACACAGCCGCACCAGCAGATCCTCCCTTTGGAGAATGTCGCTTCCGGGCGTCCATTGGCAGCCGCTGGTTTCGCAGGCAGAGGCCTCGCCTCCTGGCAAATTCGAATTGGCTCTGACGTCCTGCCAAAGTCTGACTAAGGCAAACCCCCAAACCAACAGCCCACCCCCCAAAGCCCCCATTGGCAAGAGGCAAAAGGGCCATTCTCCTTTCGTACTTGGCCTTAACGTCGAAAATTCCAAAGTTCCTCTAACAAAAACACAGCCAACGAATGAACCACTGGACTGCAGGTCAGACCGCCCCATCGCCCAACCGCCCAATCCGCCTCCATCAGATGCCAAGTACCGCAGCGCGCCGCAGGCGCAGCGCATGCCGCGGCTCTGGTCCCAGCGAAGCTCGCAGCGCTGGCAGC